ATGGAGTTGTCTGAACTTATTGAATTATTAATATTAAAAGTTATTGTCCTAAGGTAGAGTAGAAGATATTTCCTCCCTAATAATGTAGGTAAAGTAGTTGGATGGTACCTGGTGACTTGCTGGAGATTTTACAGAAATTAATAAAGTGTATGCTTATATACTTTTGTCAATATTGTAGACCACATAGCTCAGGCTCTAGGCAACTGGTATGAACTTTGTGATTTTGCCATTGACTTCTCTTTTCTTCCTGTGGCTTAGTAGTCTATAGTAGTTTGCTATACTACTACTATTACTATTACTGCTACTACTACTACTACTACTACTACTACTACTACTACACACACACAAATATATGTTTGTGTGTATATACATACATACATATACATATATATATATATATATATGCACATACACTATAGTACTATATATACTATACTACTTTATAGTACTTAACTGCTAAACAACTTAAGTACACCTTCACTGTCCTTCCTCAGGGTTATTTGAATTCTTCATGTTGCCAGAGTTTGGTGATTAGAAACCAGAAAGAAGGCTCCCATCCTGAAGACATTGATGTCTACCTCTATATCAATAATTTAATATTGACTACCATAGGTTAGGCCACATTAATAGAAACTCTTTATTGGACGATGGCTTATATGAGAAACAAAGGATGTGAGATTAACTCAAAGAAAATTCAGGATCACACTTGTGTAATTAAATTTGGGGTAATACATGTGTTGGGGAGAACCCAAATGATTCTGGATGTAATCAATAATAAGCTACTAGCACTTATTTTCCAGTAGTTGAAAAAGGAAACTCAGAGGATTTTCATACAGTTTTTTGCTCTGGAGAATCCAAATCACTCACCTAGGCATTTAGGGAGTTGTTTGCAAGCTGAACATTTAAAGTAGTTCTAGGAATAGGCTACAGACATGCATGAGCTAGAGCTGGCTGCCCAGCAGTCTTTCCCATTGGTTCCTTACTTGTGGGCAACATATTTTTGAAGGTCCTTTTTCATAAGGAAGTGATGAGTGGGGACTTTGGTAGACCCCAACGATTGGGTAAATTAAATTCCTATAAGACTTGTAGAGCTTTAAGTTCCATTAAGGATGGATAAAAGGATGAGAAGGGGAAAGGAATAAGCCTTTATTAAGAACTTATTATATGCAGGCACTGTGTTAAATACTATATACATACACAACAGATATATATGTATATGTGTACATATACATGTGTGTATGTGTGCGTGTGTGTGTGTGTGTGTGTGTATGGATGTATATATAATCTTTACAACAACCATGTGAGGTAGGTGCTATTATTATCCCCATTTTATAGTCAAGAAAAAACAGGCAAACATAGATTAAATGATTTGCCCAGGGTCATACAGCTAGCAAGTGTCTGAGGTTGTATTTGACTTCATGTCCTCCCAGCACTCTATACATGGTGTCAACTAGCTCTCTCACAGCAGCTACTCATTTCTGGCCTGTTATTGGGCCCTATTTGAGACTGAACAGAGGAGGAAAGTTCATATTATCATTGTTGAGTATTGAAATTATGAGCTAGATGATACAAGATGGTTAGAAATGGTATGTACGTTATTATGCAGTCCTTTACGATTAGGCTGTGACTTTGTTGGAGCTTAAACCCTCCAGTTTCAGGATCAATTCATTGATTCCTCTGTCAGCCAAATAAACCATGACATAGGAGGTCTTGGGACTCAGGGAACACTGACCACTAATTCCTGACTGAAGGAGATTAGAGGGAACCTTCATTTAATCCCCAAAGGTAATACCCCCTCATTATAGGCCTCTACATGGGCAAAAAAAGGTATCTTGCCCCCCAGTGGAGTGAAAAAGGGAAAGAAAAGAAAAAAAAAGAAGATTATTTGTTTGGGGAACACTGAATAGATAGATGATGGTGACCTCCCCAATTTAAACATTTCTCTTCCTTATTTGCTTTACAGTAAGATTTTGCTTGAGCCACTCATGACATTTTATATGACTTTGTATTTTATTGATTTATGGATGTTTCTTATCTTCTTTACTAAATTTTAGAGTTCTTGAGGTCAGGGAACATTGTTTATGAATCTTTCCTCCACAACACTTCACTTATGATATCTTACACATTGCAGGTCTTCAAATATTTGTAGAATAAATTCACAAATGAGTAACATTCATTACCCCTGCTTGCTTCCTTCAGAAAAAAAAAGTTTACTTGTGAGTTTATTAAAAATATTCACTAAGCCAATACCATGTGCAAAGCACTGTAATAATTAACTTGGGAGGTGTCCCACTTGGATTCCCTATTAAAGGTATACCATTGTATTTACCTCAGTAATTTTAGTTCAATTTTTATTTTATTTTATTCTTAGTTTCAGTTTTCTAGTTACCTATTGAGAAGGCAGAAAATACAAAAGCCATTAGAAATATGAAGTCATGAAAAATAAATTTTTACATTAGCCATGTTCTGTGAAGGAGAGGAAGGAGAAGAGGAAAGAAATTTTTTTTAAAAAAAGGAAAATATACTTTAATCTGCAGTCTGAGTCCATCAGTTCTATATCTGGAGATGGAAAGAGTTTTTCATTAGGTGTCCTTTGGAACTGTGGTGGGTCATTGTGTTGATTAGAGTTACTAAGTCTTTTACAGTTAGTTATCTTTACAATATTGCTATCACTATGTAAATTGCTCTTCTGGTTCTAAACACTTCACTTTGCATCAACTCATACAAGTCAGTCTAGGCCTTTCTGAAATCATTCCTTTCATCATCTCTTACTAGAAAGACCTTAGCTTATAAGGTTCAAGATCTCCCACTGCATCCTGATTAATATCTGGCCTCTAGATCCAGATGGTTCTGGAGGAGAAAGTGAGGTGGTGACTTTGCACAGCTCTTCCTTACTCAAATCAAAGTCAATTGCAAATCATGTCATCATCTCGCTGATGTCATGGTCCTCTGCAAGAATGAAGGACAAACCACAATATACACACAACTACACAGATACACATACAATATAATAGTATTCCATCACATTCATACCCCATAACTCGTTCAGCCATTCCCCAATTAATGAGAATAACCCAGTTTCCAAATCTTTGCCAGCACAAAAGAACTGGTATATATATTTGTATAATTAGGTCCCTCCCCATTTTCTTTGATCTTTTTGGGATGTAGACCTAGAAATAGTATCTCTGGGTTAATGGTTTAGCTTTTTTTTAAAATACAATTTAACTTTTTGGGTATTGTTTCAAAATGCTTTTCAAAATAGTTACACATGTTCATAGGTTTACCAACATTGCATCAACATGCCTATATTCCCATATCCTCTGCAGCATTTGTCATTTTCCTTTTCTGTCATTTTACTCAATCTTATAGGTATAAATGGATATTTCAGAGTTGTTATAATTTGCATTTCTCTAATTTTTAGTGATTTAGAACATTTTTTTTCAAATGACTATTGATAGCTTTGAATTCTTCCTCTGAAAAGTGCCTGTTCATATCCCTTGACCATTTACCAATTGGGAATGACTCTTATTCTATTAAATTATTCTCAGTTATTTATCCAGTATTTTTCCCAGTAATTCTAAAATGTGACATTGCATAGGAGTTATTAGAGCTGTTCTTGTATAAGTTATTGTTAACTTGTTTCAACTAATTCTATATTCTAGGGCTACCATCACCATTACTCTAAAAACTATGATGTTATCACATTTCAGTGCTAGGTCATAGGCAGTAGAGGACAGTGTAGCCTAGGAAGAGCAAGGAATGTAAGTGAATTTAGTTTAATAACATATAGTGGTAGTCTAGCAGAGAGTTGTCAAATTGTAGACTTTCTAGTTATATGCAAGCCACAATACTCTCTCAAAAGAGATGAAAAAAAGAATTATGTAAACATTTTGTTTTTTTGGGTCAATGTGTTTCCCATGGCCCTTATTTCAACTTATTTGATACCACTGGTCCAACACACAGGAAAAAGCTCATAGTTCGAGGAATAATTTAGAAAATAGGGTATGTTGACACTATATAAGTAAAAGAACAGATTGGGATTAGATAATTTGTAGTATCAGTTCAAACTAGAAGAAACAAGCAAGGTTTGAATTCTAAACAGGTAAGTGACCTGGGTTTGGCATTCAGGATTGACAGGAAGACACTGTTCTAAGAAAAGTGTGTCCTATTGAATATAAGGAACAGATAGTGTCTAGAGACTTCTAGATTCTAAAAATGGCTGTATGACAACATAGTATATAGACACAGGGTTAGGGCCAGGGTTCAAACAATGCGTGACAGAAAAGATATAAAATAGTGAGGCATACAATAATCTGAATCAAATACAGGCATAAATATTCTCCTAAGTGTGTCATTAAGGGATGATCATTTACCTAATAACATGGGTTGGTTAATGTTCACATTGGTTTCAAGCACTCTTTTCCATCCTGTAGGTAGACAAGATTTAGTAAATGCTCCTCTTCTAAATGAAACAGGACTTTTAAAGTGCTTGTGGTGTTTACTGTAGCAGGACAAGGGACATCAAAGAATTCTAATACAGAAAAATTAACATACAAAACTTCCTTCTTATTAACCTATCAAAGTCTCTATTTCTATTCAACTGTTCAGCATTTAAGATTTGTTTTCTTGAAATTTCTATTCTTTTTTTAAATTTTTTCTGTGGTCATTGTCATGTTTTTCAATGCAATGTAGCACTCTGCTACAGCTGTCCCCTCTACACATTAAAATTCCACATTTGGATTTGTGGTTCAGTCTGTCATCTTGAAACTAAATGGCAGCTGATAAATTTTTAAATGACCATTTCTTCTGCAATGTATATATGATTATACCAAATAAAGTTAACAACTTCCAGACCTACTAATCATATCCCTTACAGGTGTGCCATGGCTGACACCAGTGATTTCAGTGCTAGGGGCTTAAAACCATTGTATGCCTCAGTGAAATAACTCTGAAATGAGCATAGCTATTCATCTCATAAGTATTTTAATGTACAAATTCACCTTGGATAAGAATCTCGGCTACAGCTGCTTTCCATTGGCATCATTTTAACTTTCTGGAGATCCTAGTGAGAAATGAATAATTTGTTGTTGTTGTTGTTGTTTTAAGTTGGGATAATTTTTGTTGGATTTGTAGTTATAGTAGCCTGATAAGTGGCCATGCTGAATTTGAAATTGGAGAAGCATTTTTTTTGAAATGCATTAAATAATCAGATATGGGTAGTGTGTAGAAGGGAATAAAAGCTAATTAGGTAGCCTAGGCATAACTCTAGACATAGCTACAAGGGTCCATTGCATTTTGCTCTTACATACCTTTAAAGAATGAATGAGCATGTAACATTTTTACATGGCAAACAGTTATATTATACACATAACTTCATCTTAAGTCATTTTATCATCTGAATATATATGGAGGATTGGGCATCAGAAAGCTTTTTAGAAACCTAGTCATTCAACCAAAATAAAAATAAAAGAATTTAGAAGTAAACTTTGAGTGCACAGCCAGTTGGAGCCATGTCCCTTGATGGGTCCTATAGCTTCCCATACTTCCACTATTGATCTCATAGTTATTTTCCCTTTTTTTCTCTTTCCTGAAATTTCATCACTTTCTGAACATAATCATCAGCATTAGAACAACAACAATAGCTGGCATTTATATATTTCCTTAATAACTTAGAAGTGCAACATAATTCACTTTCACCTAATGACTGGGTGTTGAAAAAGGAGAGGGAACAAAGGTGTTGAGAGTTATTAGAAGGGGATTTAAAAAGAAGAGTAAATGGGCTGGTATTTATATTTAATGTACATGTCTTGGGCAATGAAACATTTAGTTCTACCCCGCCTTATCGAAGCTTGCTTTTGAATGTTTTAAACTCTTTCCAGAAAGTATTACCATATTTCCCAATTTTTCAATGATTAACAGAGCTGGCCACATTTAGCTATAAAGGATAGCTTACGTTTGATGTAGGTAGTTTTATAATACACTGCCCCTTCACATAAACTTGTCTCCCACTGCTTTTTTTTCCTCTTCTTTCCATTCTCTTCAGGGCACAGAGTTGATGTAGATGGATGCTGCCCTCACAAAAACTAGATATCATGCCTCCACTGCACCAAAAGATCCATTTCCTTTTGAAAATGTTTCCTGTTTCCATGGTTCCCTTTAATAAGCTGGTTTCCATGACTCCCATGACAAAGAATCTTGCCAGAACAACATGGCTTCATTCACCACACTTGCCATTCTGTTCCTAACAGAAATTGTGTCTTTGGTATTACATAGACATAGAGTAAATGTTTTCTTCCTTCCAACTTAATTGCAACTAAAAATCCTCTGAAAGTATCCTTTTGCTACTTTGACCATTTTTTCAAACAGAATTAAAAGAAAAACATCCTGAATGAGTTGGATATCTTGTCTTTCTTATGTATTACAAATAAGTCTCAGCATTACTAATCAGATCAATTTAATGTATTCTAATTATCCTTACATACATTTATATTTTGGAATATCTTTCTGGAAAATAAATAGCAAAGAATATAATTCTATTTTTGGATAAATGTTTTAAAATACTATTAGCATAGATATTTGTATAGTTATATTGAAACATGAAGTTAAATAGAATACCAAATTTATAAGGATAATGTAGATATATTTTAATTTAGTTTCTCACAACTTTTATGTGAACTTTGTCTTTTTCAAAGGGAAGTAAAACCAAAACATGCTCTGAATATAGTTCTATAATTTTATTTAAATTTGATCTGAAAAACTTTCTTTAGAAAAAATAACTATATATAATATTTCTAGATAAGTGAGCAACATTGTTGTGCAGTGGATAGAGATCTAAGCTTGGAGCCAGAAAGACCTGAGTTGGTTCAAATCCTGCTTCTGATGTATAATAACTCTATGAGCCTGAGAAAATTACTCAATTTCTCTTTTACTATAGGACCCTATGACTATACTTTGCATAGAAGTTATCAACACAAATATATAGAGGAAGTTTCCTCATCTGGTAATTTGCTCTATCAATTAAATTGCAGGTACTATCCTTATTCCTATTCCTATTTTTAGATAAATTATATTCATTTTTCTATCCAAGCTTGAAAACCATCACTTGCCAAAGAATAAAAATAAATACGACTTTTGAAGATTCTTACTATGCTATACACTGACACTAGAATTATCTCAAGATGGCAGAAATCAACATATTCCAGTCATTACCGTAGTTCTGACAGGACACTGTCATTCTCTAAAGGCTAGTTTAGTGCGGATTTGTGCTTCAGAAAATCAAAATTGTTCAATAGTTTGAGGAAATATAAGAAGTTTTATGCCTATACATCATTTATTTATACTCTCATATTTGAAGGAAACTTCTCAAAACTGTATTTTATCAGTGTATATTCCAATGTCTTATGGAAAAAAAAAAATATTCATTTGAACCTCCCCAAATGAGACAAATGTACAACCTCTTTCATATAGAATATTAAAATTTCACACTCAGACCACTCATTGCTTTCTTTTCAACTCTCTGACTCTCTTAAACTAAATATAATATTATCCTATTGATACATGTCTTACTACTCCCATCATTCTGTTAAAGCTACTCCCTCTATAGTCTATACTAACTTTTTTTTACTCAGCAGTGATTCCTTAATTGCCAAACTTGATGATCTTTATTCAATCCTCAATCTCTTTGTCCTTTTTGTATATCTTGTCACTGTTCACAACACCCTATGGTTAGATACTCCCTACTTTTCTGACTTCAGAAATACTCTCTTCTGGTTCTCATCAAAATTTTATGGTTGCTCTGCCTGAGGCAGGATGAGCGCTTGTTAATAATTAGAGATATATTTGGAGGGGAAAAAGATGATCCACAGCACAAGTAGTATAAGAACAACTCTATAAGGGAGGAAATTAGATATAATCTGAAGGCAATCTCTACATGTTTTATATGATATGAAACAATATAAAAGGGTTAAGATGAATGGAGGAAGAAGGTCTAAAAAAGTTAATGCAGGGTATAATATAAGGCATTTTTAATATTTTGTTTGTTTTGCAGAATGATTTTTCTCCTAATTTTTATTCTTTGTAATAAAAATGAATATTGGAGAGACAAAGAGGAAGGATGTATTAGGGAATTTAGTTGATTTAGACAAAATCAATACAAAATTATTTATTTAAAACTGTCTAGGGGACAGAGCCAAGGTGGTGCATTAGGAATAGCCACCAAGCTGAGGTATCCCAACATTATCCTCCATCATCACACCTCAAATAAAATTTTGGAGCAGCAGAGCTAACAAATAGCAGGGGTGAAAAAATTTTCTGGCTGAAGAAAACTTAAGAGGTGGCAAGAGGAATCTGTGACACTAGGGTGGAGGTCTGTCTAGAGCCCACATATGTGGTGGCAGCAACAGTGGCTATAACAGCAAAACTTTTGAAACTTGAAACTTAGAGACAGGAAGGGGATCAGACAACTACTAAGAAAGAAATTATAGAAAACACTTTTGTGGCACTGGGTACAGATGGTGCTGATTTGTAACTCAATTATCCATTAGTAGTTCTGGGTCACAGTTCCAGGGTGGAGAGGAGTGTTGTGGTAACTCACAAGGGAGAAAGGGTCCTGGTCAAAGTTTCAAGATAATGAGAGCACTAGCATTTGTGCCTTCAAGGCACCAGTGACACTTCATGGGCACAGGCCAGAACACAGACAAGGAGAGCAGTGACCATACCTCTACCAGGATCTAAACACCTCGAAAGTACCAAAACCTTCATTCTTGAAGAGGACCCTGACATCAGGGAGATGATGACATGACCTGCAATTGAATTTGATTTGAGTGATGGGAGTCTATTCAAAGTCACCAGCCTCACTTTCTCCTCCAGAGCCATCTGAGTCCAGTGACCATTTAGGATGACTGGAGATGGCCCAGGATACAGTAGGAGACCTTGGCTTTTTTAAGCTAAGGTCTTTTCAAGTTGTCACTTTAAGTGAGGCAATGTCCATTCACCCCTACACTTAAATCATCAATTCTTAAAGAGGCCTAACTCATTGAAGGCAGAATTTGTCTAATGGTTAAAAAAAAAATCAATGAGGAAAGAACTTTTTTTAAAAAATAAAGCAGAATTAAATAAATGAAAAATAAGTAAGAACTGACCATTTGACAAAAATTGCTGAGAAAAGTAGAAAGCAATTTGTCAGAAACTAGACATAGTCCAAATCTCACACTGTATACCCAGATAAGGTCAAAATGGATAAAAAATTTAGACATAAAAGGTGATATCATTAGTAAATTAGGGGATCATGGAAAAATGTACCTGTAATGTCTATGGAAATAGAAGTGTTTATGAATAAAGAAGAAATAGATGAGATAAGAGAAATAAAATAGAAAATTTTGATTGCATGAAATTAAAAAAAAAGCTTTTGCACAAACAAAAATGATATAGCCAAAACTAGAAGGAAAACAGGAAAGTGTAAAAGAAAAGTAACAAGTTTCTCTAAATAGGTCTCTTTTCTCAAATATATATGGAATTGAGACAAATTTTTTAAAAAAAGTTATTCCCCAGTTTATAGATTGTCAAACGGTATGAACAGGAAGTTTTTTCAGAAGAAATCAAGCTATCAACAATCACATAAAATGCTTTAAATCACTATTGATTAGAGAAATGCACATTAAACAACTCTGAGGTACCACCTTATACCTATAAGATTTGCTAACATGACAGAAAAGGAAAACCAGTAAATACTGGAAGTAATGTGGAAAAATAGATGCACTAATGAAATGAATTGTAATTGTGAACTGATCCATCCATTCGGTAGAACAATTTTAAACTACACCCAATAAAACTACCACTACTAGGTCTATATCCCAGAAACATCAAATAAAAGGGGAACGGACTTACTTGTACAAAAATGTCAGCTCATTCTGTCATGGCAAAGGATTAAACTTCGAGGGCATGCTCATCAAATGCTGAATTGCTAAACAAGTTTTGGTATTTGATTGTGATAGAGTACTATTGTACTATGAGATATAATGAGCAGATTGTTTTCAGAAAAATCTGAGAAGATTTATATGAACTGAGGCAATATGAAGTGAGCAGAACCAGGAGAGTGCTGGACATAGTATTAGCAATATTGTAAAGCTCATTGATCATTAAAGAGTTGGTTACTCTGATCAAAACAATTATCCAAGACAATTCCAAAGGACCTATGATAAAAAATGCTATCTACCTCCAGAGAGAGAACTGATAAACCCTGAGTACAGATTGAACCATATATTTTTTAACTTAAGTTTTATTATTTTATTTTTTCTTTTGCAATATGCTTAATATGGAAATGTGTTTTGTATGACTGCACATATATAATCCACAGAAAATTGCTTGCCTTCCCAAAGAGGGGAAAGGAAGACACAAAGGGAGAGAATTTTAAATATAAAACTCAAAAAATTAAAAAAAAGAAGATTGTAAATTTTTTTACATGTAATTGGGAAATGATGAGATAAATGGAAACTTTTTTTTTAAATGAAATTAACCTGTGCAAGGGCATGTTGCATATTTGACATTTTGTCTAATCTCAATCAACTTTAGCTAATATTTAGTCCTTTTTTAACGTGGCAGCTTTTGTGTACTCCTCAAAGACTGCTCTGTACTTTGCATGGGGTTGCTTGGGTCTCATGGTCGCTTCAATTGTTCTCACTAGGTCTTAGCTTTGTACCCAACTCAACTCCATACAATACCTCTCTAGAAATCAAGGATTTAACTTGGTAAATTATCTAGATAGAATATCTCTGGGATATGTCCATTTTGCATTGATTTCTCTCTACAGGAATGAGGCATTATGAGTTTGCCATTCACTGTAGGCAGGAGTCTAGGGTTAGTCTCATTAAATTGAGATCAGAGCATATCTATCTTTCTGAGACAGATAGATGATAGATATATGTCTCTATGGACCAATAAATATAGATATCTAAATAAATCTACAGATATACAGCTATCTGTTACAATTAGTCTGAATCTGTAGAGGTAGATATCTGTATTTATTGATCTATAGAGATCAAACAGCTTCTATAGATCATCTGTTAAATCTCTTTAGATCAATAAATACAGCTATTTAGATGTATGTATGGAGAGAGCTATCTACTTCTATTATTCCC